CCATCCATGCATCCATCCACATATTCACCCAGCCATCCACATAACCATCTACCTATCCGCCCACCCATCTATCCACTCATCCACCTAACCACATACCCTTTCATCCATCCATCCATCCACCCACCCACTCATCTACCCATCCACCCAGCCATCCACATAACCATCTACCCATCCACTCACCCACCCATCCATCCATTCACCCATCCACTTACTCATCCATCCATTTATCCATCCATCCACCCACCCACCCATCTACCCACTTATCCACCCATCCACCCACCTATCCACATATTCACTCAGCAATCCACATAAACATCTACCTATCCACCCACCCATCCATCCATGCATCCACTCATCCACCTAACCACCTACCCATCCATCCACTCATCTATCCACCCATCTGCCCATCCACATATTCACCCATCCACCCACTTATTTATCCACCCATCCACATATCTACCTACCCATCCACCCATCCAGATATTCACCCACCCATCTACATATTCATACACCCATTCACATATTCATCTACCTATCCACTTACCTACCCAGTCACCCACCCATTCATCCACTGTCCATCCATCTACTCATCCACCCACCCACTCATCTACATATTTACTCAACCATCCACATATTCATCCACCCACCCACATATCCATCTACCTATTTACCCATCCATCCATCCACCCACCCATCCATCCAATTACCCATCCACTTACTCATCCATCCATTTATCCATCCATCCACCCACCCACCCATCCACCCACTTATCCACCCATCCACCCACTCAATCACATATTTACCCAGCCATCCACATAACCATCTACCCATCCACTCACCCACCCATCCATCCATCCACCTAACCATCCACCCATCCATCCATCCACACCATCCATCCATCTACTCATCTATCCACCCACCTGCCCATCCACATATTCAGCCACCCACACATCCACTTTCACACATCCACCCATATACCTAACCACCCACCCTTCCACATATTCACTCACCCACCCATCCACATATTCATCTACCCATCCACCCACCTACCCAATCACCCACCCTCTTGTCCATCATCTATTCATCTACCCATCCACTTACCTATCTACCCCTCCACTCATCCACCCACCCATTCATCCATGCCAGACACATGGGCCGTGGTGTAGGACAAGACAAGGCTGATAGCCTTGTGTGAATGAATGCCTTATTCTGCACCCCATATTTTGGGACTTCTACCTCCTTGGGCCTTCATGGGCCTTCTTCCTTGGTCTCCCCAAGGAAGGGAAGCTCTCAGCATGCACACAGAGGAACCACAGGCATAGTGGCTGAGCAGGAAAAGGGCAGGGACATCCTTGGGCCAGCAGCCCTCTCCTATGGATTTGCCACCCCCCACCCCAATCCCGCCATGGCCTCCTGGGATCCTTCTTCCTGTTCCCAGCCTAGGGGATTTGGGTGAGAAAGAAGTTCTTGAGGCCGGAGAGCATGTCAGTTCTGGGCTACTTTAAGTATTTGGGGGACAAACCAAAGTACAAAAAAAGTTCATAAAGGTCTTAAAAAGTTCCTAGATCCTGACCAAGGCTGCCTGAATGCCCTGCATCCAGCCCTTTTATCAGACTTGGGGCAGAGCCCCCCACCCCACCTCTGGCACCATAGGGAGGGCAGAGGGCACACTGCTGGCAGCCCTGTCTGACCACAGCAGTATCAGACCTTGCCCATGGCAGCTCCAAGGGCCGGAGGACAAACCCACACCACACAGTGCACACCAGCAGGTGGGGTGAGTGGCATGGGTTCCTCCCTGCACCTCTCTCTGCCCTACTTCAATAGGCAGGGTATGGGAGGTCACAGCACCTAGGACAGCCTGCCTCGAAGGTGTTTGCCTCTGGCACCAAGATGATCTTAAGGCTCTCCAGCTAGCACAGGGGCTTCCACCTTTCAACAACTTGGAACCTTCATCTTGGTGGATCTGGGCCCCAGGGCAGAGGGGCAGGGGTGAGGTGGTGTCTCTGAGTTTCCCCGGCTTAGCCCTTCTGGCTTAGTGGGGTGGTGGTGCAGAGGTACCTGATCGCCTCAACCTCTGCAGTACAGGTGAGGAGGGGGACTGAGGCCCCACAGAGCTCAGAGATGCTTAGGGTGGGAGGTGGGGGTTCCCAGAATCCCCAGAATCCTGGGAACTTAAGTTGCTAGAACCTAAGAGAACTAACACAAAGTGGAGTGAAAAGAGCACTTTGGAGGCTGGATTTGGGACCCTGTTCTGCCTCCGACTGGCTGCACACCCTGGGCAAGGCACCTACCCTCTCTGTCTTGGAAAAGTGAAGACACTGGGCTAGAGTGGCAGTTTTCACACTGTCTGGACACTCTAGTATTCTACAGAGGTAGCTGGGTGTTAGTTTGTTAGGGATGCTTAACAAAATACTATAAACTGGATGGTTTTAGAATCATGGGAATTATTTCTCACAGTTCTGGAGGCTGGGAAGTCTGAGATCAGGGCACCAGCAGACTCAGTGTCTGGTGAGAACCCCACATTCTGGTTCATAGATGGTGGGTTCTTGTTGTATCTTCACATGCTGGAAGGGACAACGCAGCTCTCTGGTACTTTTTTTTTTTTTTTTTTTTTTTTTTTTTTTTTTTTTTGTTCTTTTTTTTTTTTTTTTTTTTTTTTTTTTTTTTTTTTTTTTTTTTTTTTTTTTTTTTTTTTTGAGATAGCGTCCCGGTCTGTCACACAGCCTAGAGTGCAATGATGTGATCTTGGCTCACTGCAACCTCCACCTCCTAGGTTTAAGCAATTCTTGGTCTCTGAAGTAGCTGGGATTACAGGCCTGTGCCACCACACCTGGCTAATTTTTGTATCTTTAGTAGAGATGGGGTTTCACCATGTTGGCCAGGTTGGTCTTGAACTCCTGACCTCAAGTGATCTGCCTGCCTCAGCCTCCCAAAGTGCTTGGATTACAATGCAAGCCACCTCACCTGGCTGGTACTTCTTTTATAAGGGCACTAATCCCATTTATGAGGGCTCCACCCTCATGACCTAATGACCTCCCAAAGGCCCCCTAACACCTCCTAACACCATCACATTGGAGGTTAGGATTTCAAAATAGGATTTGGGGGTAGGGGGACCTAAACATTCAGACCTTAGCACATGAGGCAGGATGAGGGATGGAGCTGGGCCCTGCCTTTCTGTGTTTCATAGTTCAGGTGAGCAAGCCATTCTCTGTTCAACAGAAAGCCTTCCAGTCAGATTCTGTGCAGCTGGGGACCTTCAGATTCTCTCAGCCTGTTCCACATGCTGCAGTTTAGCACAGGATGAGCCACGGGGTCCCACTTTCCTTACAGTAGGCATGTGGGGCAGGAGAGATCAGGGACTTGTGCAAGGGAGGGCCTGAGTGCCAGCTTGCTGGGGCCCCCACCCCCTTCCTAGCCTATCTCTTGTGTTCCCAGCGCCCCCCCCTCTTAGTCTGCCTGACAGCTGGCCATGCCCAGCTGGTATCTTTCAAGGGGCAGTGGGTTTTTCCCTTCGCTCCAGGGAGAGCACCCTGCTCCAAAACTCACGGTGGGGCCGCCTGCCACCTAGTGGTCCTGGCAGACATTTCATGGCCGCAAGTCCAAGAGGGAAGTTGGCAGAGAGGGAGGCCCCAGGAAGAAGCTGGGCTGGAGCAGGCAGGAGTGCCGCTGCAGGGCTGTGAGATGCCCCAGAGCACCTCCCTGAGGCCTCATAGCCACCATGCGTTATTCACATACTCCGAAGCCCTCGACTTTACACATACTCCTTCCCTTCTCACAGCTTTATGGCATTTGCAGATGAGGAAACTGAGGCATAGAGAGGACATTAGCTCGCCTAAGATTACAGGGCCAGCTGCTACGGGGCAGAGACCTAGACTCTGCTCTCTGACTCCAAAACTGAAGGTTGACGGACAGCACACTGCACTCACCTCTTCCATTGCCAGCCAGGGAGACATAAGCCAGACAGGAAACAGGACGAGAGATGCCAGGTAGAGGATGTAGAGTCGGGGCAGCAAGGGCAGGGGCACCAGAGCCGGCTTTCTGGCCTGGTGGGGCTTTAAACAACTCAAAAGGGAGATACATAAGTGGCTCAGTGGTTCTTCTCTCATTAGGGACACCACGCCAAGCTCCATGGTAGCTTTACATTTAGTTTTTTCCAAAAATGTCTCTCTTTTATTTTTCATTATCTTATTTATGTATTTATTTATTTTGAGATGGAATCTCACTTCAGGCTGGAGTTCAGTAGTGCAATCTTGTCTCACCGCAACCTCCACCTCCCAGGTTCAAGCAATTATCCTGTGTCTGCCTCCAGAGTAGCTGGGATTACAGGCACACCACCTCGCCCAGCTAACTTTTGTATTTTTGGTAGAGGTGGGGTTTCATTGTGTAGGCAGTGATCTGCCCACCTCAGCCTCCCAAAGTGCTGAGATTACAGGCATGAGCTACCACACCCGGCCATCTCTTTCCTACACTGCTATGAAAGGGTGGGTGATCCCGTGGCCATAAACCCTTTTATCTTACCCCCACCCCCACGCCCTGCCACCTACTGGACCAGGGTGTGAACTTGTCCTATATTGGCTGTAGAACTGGTAGAGATGTGTGGGTCAGCTTCACCCAGTACAACAGTTAGGAATGCTTTGGGCTCCATGTAACCCACAAAAGTAACTAATAGTGGTTTAAATCAGAGCAAGGAAGTTGTCTCTTGCATCAAGAAGTCCAGGCTAAGCACCTGGTAAGGATGGCCGTTTGTATCCAGGGAACCATGGGCCCAGCTGTTTCCATTTTTCCTTAGCTTGTGGGCTTTGGCTTTGTGCCTGTCACCTCTGATCGGAAGACAGCTGCAGTGCCCCCAGTAATGCCTCTGGGTTCCAGGCAGAAGGAAGGGGGACAGGCAAAAACCCAAAGGGATACATCCACTAAGTCTGCCTCTTTCAAAGGCTCTCCTGGAAGCCCCACCCAGTCTTCCACTTACATCTAAGGGGCCACAGCAGAGTCTCCTGCCTCTACAAGCTGCAAGGGAGTCTGGGAAGTGAGCATTTCAGTTGATGTTCCTTCCCCCAAATAAAAGCACAGTTCAGTTAGGTAGAAGGGGTGGACATGATTTGAGTGGGACACTAGTAGAATCTGTCTCATGTCAAAAAAATCATCATCCTAGCCAGGCACGGTGGCTCACACCTGTAATCCCAGCACTTTGGGAGGCCAAGGCGGGTGGATCACTTGAGATTAGGAGTTTGAGACCAACCCGACCAACATGGTGAAACCCCATTTCTACTAAAAATACAAAAAGTTAGCCAAGCATGCTGGTACACGCCTGTAATCCCAGCTACTCAGGAGGTTGAGGCAGGAGAATCGCTTGATGGAGGCGGAGGTTGTGGTGAGGCGGGATCGTGCCATTGCACTCCAGCCTGGGCAACAAGAGCAAAATTCCATCTAAAAGAAAAAAATCATCATCCTGGCCCTGGAAAGGCTGGGCAGAAAGGGCTCTCCAGTGTGGGGAAAGCCCAAGGAAGCATCATGGAGGGTGGGCAGCACTGGAGACCAGAGAGAGCAGGATGTCCAGGGTCCCCTCCCCCTCCTCGGGGCCCTTGATCTCTCTATGACCTTGGCCAAGTCACCTTCCCTCTCTGGGACTCAGTTTTCTCGCTCTAAAATGAGGGGGCTTAACAAAGTTAGTATTTCTCAAACCTTTAACCAAAGTCCCAAACAAGCTCAAGAGAATGAACTTGTAAGCATCGTGTAAAATAGTGCCTTTTATCTTAAAACTTTATGAAAATTTTGCAGTCTGAAGAATCTCAAAGCTTAAATTACTTTAGGAAACACTATGTATTAAGAATATGTGTGAAGCCAAGGCAGGAGGATCACCTGAGGCCAGAAGTTTAAAACCAGCCTGGGCAACATAGCAAGACCCCTTCTCTACAGAAAATTTAAAAATTAGCCCGCAATCACTTGAGCCCAGGAGTTGGAGGCTGCAGTGAGCTATGTGTGAATTAACTTAAGAAATGGATAAATGAATGATTCAAATTTTATACTTATTTACAATCTTTAAAAATTACATGTAATAGTATAACCATAATTAAAATTTCCTCTCCATCTTTTTAAAAATTATTTTTAGAATAGATAATACATTCACATGGCTCAAAATTCTAAAGCATGTCAAAGTTCCTTAATTTATAATGAGTTTGTATCCTAATAAAGCCATCGTAAATTGAAAATATCTTAAGTTGAAATGCACTGAATTTACCTAACCTACTGAACATCATAGCTTAGCCTAGCCTAGCCTACCTTAAACGTTCTCAGAACAGTTACATTAGCCTACAGTTGGGCAAAATCATCAAAAAGCCTATTGTGTGTGTGTCAAAAATCATTCACACAGGTGGAGCATGGTGGCTCATGCCTGTAATCCCAGCACTTTGGGAGGCAGAGGCAGGCAGATCACCTGAGGTCAGGCATTCAGGACCAGCCTGGCCATCATGATGAAACCCTGTCTTTACTAAAAATACAAAAATTAGCTGGGCATGGTGGCATGTGCCTGTAATCCCAGGCACTCAGGATGCTGAGGCAGGAGAATCACTTGAACCTGGGAGGCAGAGGTTGCAGTGAGCTGAGATCTCACCACGGCACTCCAGCCCAGGAAACAGAGCAACAGAGCCAGACCTAGTCTCAAAAAAAAAAAAAAAAATCATGCAAAGCTTATTTTATAATAAAGTGTTGAATATCTTATGTAATTTATTGAATACTGTACTGAAAGTAAAAAACAGGATGGTTGTGTGGGTCCTGGAAGTGTGGTTTCTACTGGATGCATATCGCTTTCACACCATCATGAAGTCAAAAAGCGTTAAGTGGAACAAATCGTTGTAACTGAGAGCCCATCTATATGTGACACACAGTGAGACGTCTCCTGCCCACTCTGTCTCCCGCCCACCCCTTTCCCCACACTGAAGGTATTCCCATTTCTGTTTCTTGTGTATCCTTTAAATTTGTAAATGTTTTGAAAATCATTTTTAAAATAAGCAAGAGTTCCATCCCCAAGGGGAGCCAATGAAAAGTTTTGAGCAGGGCCCAGGCAGCTCAGGGCTGGAGTCTAGGAAACTTGCGGAGGCTGGATGGTGGCGTGGGTGGAGCTCAGCTGTTGAAGCAGGTGACGCATTGCAGGTGTGCCGCTGGCAGCGGTGGTGGGCGGGGCTTGGAGGAGGTGGGTGGGGCAGGCCAAGCTCCTTGTCTCTGGTGGGCGGAGGCGGTCCTACCTCGGGTTCCACACCCTTGTCCACGCAGGTTCCTACTACCTGACCACCACCTACGGGGCCCTGGAGCACATCAAGAACTACGACAAGATCACGGTGACCCGGCAGCTGAGCATGGAGGTGCAGGACTCCATCCACCGCTGGGAGCGCCGGCGCACGCTCAACAAGGCCCGGGCCTCCCGCTCCTCCGTGCAGGTGACAGTGACAGCTGGGACCGGGAGTGGGAGGGGCCCGGTGGGACCTTGTCCCAGACACCATCCCTGCTGCCCACTGGCTCAGAAGCCGTGACATCGCCTGGCTGCTCCAGCCGCCCAGCCCTGCCTTAGGGAGCAGTGAGGCTCCCCACACCAAAGGAAGGGCCCCCAACCCCTGCTGCCACTGTGTGTCCAGGACTTGGGTGTGCCTAGAAACGTATCAGCAGGCATTGGTGTTCTCGCTGGGCAGGCAGGAAGGCTGCGGGAGGAATGAGACACGTGTGCCCATCATTCCTTAGCGCCTCCTATGGCCCAGCACCCTGCCAGGGCTGGAGATGTGGACTTTTTGTCCCAGTCCCTGCCTTTAAGTAGCCCACAGTCTGATCTACAGCCCCATCCCTTAGTCACTGGACAAATGTAGCAGCTGCCAAGGGTCTCCGTACTCCCCAGCAGCCCGGCAGCCCACCCCTCCCCACACCTCTCTCTATACAGACTCAATATTCAAACCAGTCCTGCCCCTCCTCAACTTCATTGCCCCACCCAGCCCCAGGCTGCATCAAATCCGGGTGTCCCCAGGTCCCCAAACATGCCCAGCCCAGTTCACTGGCTTCTCAGCCTCTGCCCTCACTGGCCAATCTCCCCTTCTTCACTGGCCATCACTGCCCATCCTTTGAGACAACTCAGTTTCCCCAATGCCCCTCCTCTGAGAAGCCTTCCCTGATACACACACACACACACGCTCTTCCCACAGGCTTGGTGGGGTGCCCTCCTCTGGGCTTCCGGCAGCCTCCCCCTTTACAGCACATATCACGTCCTATCATCCTCTGAATATGAAGCTGTCACCTCTGGGAAGGCACAGCCCATGGTTCACATGGCTCAGGGACCCCAAGCCCAGGGCCTGGGACAGAGTGGGACTGGGTGTATGAAAATGAAAAAAGGAAGGAGTTGGACCACTGAGCTGGGCATATCCAGAGCTGGAAGCAGCTATGCAGACTCACTCCCCTGACACCCAGAGCACACCAGTCCTGAGCCCCACTCCTGGCTTTCAAGATGGTACATCTGTAATAAGCAGAGCACAGGCCTGGGAGGCAGGAGGCTTGAGCTCTGGACCTGGCCCTGTACAAGCCTGCTGTACTCAGCAATCCCTGCCCCACTCTGGGACTCAGTTTTCCTGTCCACACAGGCTGACTATGGCTAATCAATTTAATAACTGACTCTCTGGGGAAAAAACAAAAGCTCTGATTTTAGCATCTGTCCACTTCCATGGTGTGAATACTCCATGGCCAATTTCAACTTGGCATCACTGAATGTGGAACTGGAATGAAGTGTGTGCAGTCAGCTCTCCCCAGCCAGTGTGAGCCACCAGCAGCTCCCATCCCCTCCCAACACACTGCCCCCCCATGGACTGTGGGACATGGACACTCTTGGTCCATGCCTGGCCTGGGCCCGTACTTCCTGACTCCACCCTAGGAGTTCCTGATGCTGAGCCAGGCAGAGCATGGGTGAAATTGACCACCCGCTGTTGGGGAGATGGAAGCTTGGGAGGGGTCCCCCTCAGCACCACATCTGGGATCTGGGAAGGGCACCACCCTCTGCCCCCTCCCAGTGCCTCCTCTGCACCCCATGCCTTGAGGGGTGGACATCCTTCCCTGGGGAGGAAAGCCCAGAGCTGGACAGTCACCAGCAGGTGGATAGGACCCTGGGAGGCCTAATGGAGGACAGGGAGCCCTAAGGCAGCCACTAAGAGGGAGTGGGCCGGGCTTTTCCCGTCCTGAAAGAAATGGGTGGTGCCCATGAAGCTCTTGACAGGATCCCTGCCCCTCCTAAGCCCTCGCCAGCAGTGGCCATCAGGTTCTCCACCAAGCCGGGATCTTCAGCCGCTCCCGGCGCAGGCCTGCTGTTCCCAAGCGAGCCACGAGGGGGCAGCCCCGCACGCAGCGTCACTTCCTGCAGCCCAGAGCCCGGGGGAGGCGGAGGCCACTCCGCGCTGGAGCTTCCCGCGTCTGCTCACCCACTCCTGGGAGGCGGTCGCTGTCCCCATTTCACAGCCAAGGCTCGAGGAACCAAGGCCACACAGGCAGTGGGAGCGGATTCAAAGCCCGCAGGTGTGGGGTGGGGGCCCTAAGGGTGGAGGACGGCAGGCGAGCGCCCTGCGGGTGCTGCGACTACCCAGCCCCAGCCGCAGGCGTCGCCTCGCCCTGCCCCCTGCCCGCCCGGCTCAGGCTGGGCCCTACCCACCCGATTGCGCCCTGCCTGCTTCAAAGGCCCCGCGCAGCTCCTCCGAGACCCGGGGCCCTTAAAGCCCGCCCGCACTGTGGGATGCCCGGGCCGGCTCGCACCTCCGTTATCTGTGCTGCCCTCCGTGCCCAGCATTGCGCCTGGGTTGCCGGGGAATTACCTGGAAGGAGGGAGGGAGGGAATGAATGAATGAATGAATGAATGAACGAACGAACGGTGGGAAGCCTGTGGACCGGCAGCCAGGGGGCGCACCTCATTGCAGGGTCTCCGAGACGCCCCTTAATTCATCCCCAGAACTGTCTGCCCAGCTGGGAGGCGAGGCAGGGAAGGGGGGGCGGGTCCCCCGCAGGCTCACAGCACAGCCAGGTATGGCGCAGGTGCCGGACTCCCCGCCCGCTGGGCGCCCGTCACCCGCTGTCCATCCAGGGAGGGGCCTGGGCAGGGAGAGGGCTGGGGGCCCGGCCGAGGCCGCCTGGGGAGACAGGGCCCCGCCGTGACCGCAGGCCCCGCGTGTCTCCGCAGGACTTCATCTGCGTGTCGTACCTGGAGCCTGAGCAGCAGGCGCGAACGCTGGCGTCGCGGGCGGACACCCCGGCCCAGGCGTTGTGCGCGCAGTGCGCGGAGAAGTTCGCGGTGGCGCGGCCGCAGGCGCACCGGCTGTTCGTGCTGGTGGACGGGCGCTGCTTCCAGCTGGCGGACGACGCGCTGCCGCACCGCATCAAGGGTTACCTGCTGCGCTGCGAGCCCAAGCGCGACTTCCACTTCGTCTACCGCCCCCTGGACGGCGGCGGCGGCGGCGGTGGCGGTGGCGGGAGCCCGCCCTGCCTGGTGGTGCGGGAGCCCAACTTCCTGTGAGGGCGACGCAGGCGGGGCCGGGGGCTGCGGGGCGCTCCCCCGTCACCCCCAGGCGCACCTCTGGCCGCGCACCCCCTACAGCGACGCCCACGCAGCACAGGGACACGGGGCTTTCCACGACGTGCCCAGGCCAACGTCGTAGGACAGTTGTGAAAATGTCAGGACGCGCGGCCAAGGCCATCCCTGAGGGCGGGTCATAGCACTGAGACACTGAGAGGCCGTGTTCTTCATTAGACGGAAAGGGAAACCGAGGCTCAGAGAGGAGAGAGGCGCCCCGGGCCGCGGCCGCCAACAAACCCGCCCTCTTCACACGCAGCCCCTCCGGCCATTTCCCCTGAGTCCCCCCACGCCCACGCCATCCTCGGTCTTTGCAAGGAAGGGCCCGAGCTTAGTTTCCCAGGACTGGCCGAGGAAGCGGCGCCGGCCACAGCTGCTCCCCGTGCCCTCAGGGTGGACCCAGCATCTCAGGAGTACCGCAGGGTGCGTGTTGAGACCCTCACCCCTGCCCCAGAGCCTGCCCTTAGCTCCCAGCGCCCCCAGACCTGGTCGTTCTGCGCCCCGTCGGAAGTCGCCAGACACATGCCGGAGCGCCAAGCAAGACCAGCTCCAGGGACCCACGGACAAGCCCAGCCCCGCCTCAGGGAAAACTGACAGGGCCTTTCCCTGCAGCACGCCCCGGAGCCGTGGCCGATTGCAGGAGCCATCGTGTGGGGAGAATTTAATAAAAGCCCTTTTGAAAATGGCATCTCCTTTCCCGAAGGCGCTGGAGCTCTGCACAGCCAGCCACCCATTCACAGCCTCACCCCCTTCCCAGGTGGCTTCAGAAAACCCCTTTGCCATGGGGATCCTGTCCTCTGCCAGAGCCTGTTGCATACTCTGAGCACCCTTGGGACCCTGGCCCCTGTCTGCCCCTAAGCCCGGTGGTCTTCTGCCTCCGACCATCCTTGATTCCCATCATCCCCAGCTCAGGATCAGAACCGTCTGTCACCTCTCGCAGGGATTCCATTCCCTGTAGTCTTTGCCTCGTCACCTTCTGTCTCCTATACATCCTCCTCGTTTTTTGTTTTGTTTTTTGTTTTTGTTTGTTTTGTTTTTTTGTTTTTTGAGACGGGATCTCCTCATTCTGCTGCCCTGGCGGGAGTACAGTGCTTCGATCAGGGCTCACTGCAGTCTCAACCACCCAGGTTCAGGAGGTCTTCCCACCTCAGCCTCCTAAGTAGCTGGGACTATGGCCATGTGCCACCACACCTGGTTAATTTTTTGGTATTTTGT